AGCTCATCAAGCATTTTTTTGTTGTGCCCACAATTCTCCCATGCAGCGTCGAACAGTGGTTGTTGTCCGGTCCGACTCTGGAGCTATAGGTACCAAAAAATACAATAATTACAATAAGTCCTTTGTATTTTTATAATACCCCCAAAATTTTAATTAATGAAAAGTACATACCAGAGGTTGTGGCCTCGTCCACATATTCCACCTCCTCCACAACTGTAGTTGTCTCATCAACATTGCCATCACTTGGCTGGGTCTGGGTCTGGGTCTGGGTCTGGGTCGGGTCCTGGGGCTGTCGTTTCTCCTTTTGTGGAGTCGCTCTCCTATTACTTTTTCTTTGTTCTTTCTCTGTGATATAGCAAAGTGAAATCAATCTAAATAACGCAGAGATGATCAATAATATGGCATGTTCTTCACATTTTCTCTTTTGTTATTGTGTAGTGACGTTTTGCATGAGAATTTTGATTATTGTCCAAATTCTAATTTTTTTTTAGAAGACGGGAGAATTGCAAAAAGAACCAAATCGATGAAATGGACAGTGAGCTGAAAGAGATGATCAATAATATGGCATGTTCTTCACATTTTCTCTTTTGTTATTGTGTAGTGACGTTTTGCATGAGAATTTTGATTATTGTCCAAATTCTAATTTTTTTTTAGAAGACGGGAGAATTGCAAAAAGAACCAAATCGATGAAATGGACAGTGAGCTGAATTGGAGAATATTTCCAACTCTTTTGCACTACAGTACACATTTATCACTTCTACTACATTGGCCAAACTCTTCACCCTTTTGTAAATATCACTTATTCTGCTTCATTGATCTTCAACTACAACCATAAAAGTTATTTTACTACAATTTCTTGGCCTATGGTCATTTATCAACGTTTGGTCCAACTGGATTGCACTAAGCCAGGACGTCATCGTTCACGCGTGGCAATCCTAGCGATACCCAATCCTGGCAATACCTGTCTGCGGTCATCTTGTTGATAAACGCAGGCAAAGAGAGAGGGTGGCAAAGTCACCTTGCGAGGTAAGGTTTGCCACCGGGTCCCCTCCTGTCTCCCGATACTGTCGGGCAGTCGGTCCATGACCGAGCGCCCGACTTAGTAGAGGTGGGCTGACAATATATAAAACCACATTAGATTGCATATAGGAAATTACACAAACAACAGGAATCATGTGGATACCTTAGAACATCACATGCATGCGTGAATCCTGAGCACAATTACTACTAATGGCAAACAGCCAATGTCATGATAAAAACTAGGGATGCACCGATACAAGCATCGGCGGCGATACCGAGTATTTGCATGAGTACTCGTGCAAATACTCCGATACAAAAAACGAGTACCTGTGCCGCGTCCGCCATCTTCAGGGACCCAAATCCGCCGCACACAGGACCTCCATCGCGTCTTCAATGAAGCAAGATGGCCGCAAACTCCTCCTCCAAGTCATCTGCTCCATTCTGACCTCTTCTCTCGCTGATTGGCCGATGGGATGATTGACAGGCTTCCTCACCAGTCAGGAGTGACTGGTGAGGAAGTCTGTCATCATCCCATCGGCCAATCAGCGGGAGAAGAGGTCAGAATGGAGCAGATGTGAGAAAGCCGAAGCCGTGCACACAGTCAGCCCATCATCCGTTCATCGTACAGAGCCATCAGCGACCAGCCCCCTCCCCTGTGCCCGGCCCTCGGCACCTGTCTGCTCTCGGGATGTGCCCGGGCTACTGAGGATTACTATGGGCTGTATCGGGAGCCGGAGCAGCAGGACCGTTACATGTTGAAGACACTGGTGAAATGTTACCCAAGTCCCGACGTGCACTCACTATTCATGAAATTACGGCCCTTGCTCGCTCCTCTCTGCATGGAATGTCGCAGGTGGTGAAGGATCATGTGACCAAGCCTACAGCCATGGCTCAGGGACATGTGGCTCATCTGATCGAGTGGAAGGGCTGGAGCAAACCCAGCGACTCTCCGGCTGCACTGGAGACTCACTTCAATTCATACTCACACTTAAGTGAGGGAGAACAGGAGGCCAGGTTTGCTGCAGTCTTGCTATCTTTAAATGCTTCACACTAAATACAATACATATGCACCTTTCCACTGTCTTTGTTTCCTGGGTTCTTGCTTTCTCAATCATGCACTACTGCTGTTCTGCTGCTGTTTGTCCATTCTTGCTGCTGTTTCTGTTCCTCTTTTCTGTCCACTTTTTGTACATTACCAGGCGTAGCTGAGCAGTTTGCTACAGCAGAAGCTAAACTCCGTGCCTGGTCATCAATTGATGGAGAAGATTCCACAGATGATTCATATGATGAGGATCTGCAGCCCTCTATGGACCATTCTCAACCTGCAGATTTTCTAAGTCCTGTGCAGAAGGATCTGGTGTCATCCCGTGTATGCTGCTGTGACAGTGACTCCTCACGTACCCTGTCTCCTGAAACCCTGTGCTCCAGCAATGGCATGATAAATATTTATTTCATTATTCAATGTCTTTTTTTTATATTATAAAATGTTATCATACTAAAAAAAAAAAAGACATTGAATAATGAAATTAATATTTATCATGCCATTGCTAACTAAGGCTTGTATCCCCATAGTGGGGAAAATAGATGATCACATGTCCAGAGTCCAGAACACTGTATTATTGTATAGTGTGCCTTAGCTATATCCAATTCTGCATACCTGGCTTTATATTATAAAGACAGAATTGGATACAGCTGTGCCACACTACAGAGTGTTCATGTTCTTCATAATATTAAGAAACTGACCTAAAATCATGATTTTGTATTGCTTTAGAAAAAATGTGACCTGTCCCTTTAAGAAAAAGTATCGGTAATTGGTATCGGCGAGTACTTGAAAAAAGTATCGGTACTCGTACTCGGCCTTAAAAAAGTGGTATCGGTGCATCCCTAATCTGAACTACTGGCCATCTTTCAGTAGCTTGGATGCAGCACTTGTTGACTTGCAATATTCTGTTTAGTGTCTGGGCCCATAACCTGTTGGTGATGTGTTTAGATGAAGCACTAACATCTTCAGGAATGCTGAATTAAGTTTTACTTAGTTTCTTAGAAGAACGTTGAATAGATGTATATAGAAAAACAGCAGGAAATATTTAAATCATAGAGAAGAAAAACATACATATAGATAAAACTTCCTGTGCATCACAGTCAAGCATACATAAGACCAACACTGCACCACAGCGCCATCTAGTGCCCTAACAACACATTATGCATAAGCTGTTGTATTTCCAACAATGTTAACATGCCTGCACACTGGCCAATGTGGAATCAAAGAGACTGCCGGGGTTGGCACCTTTTGCTTCATGGAAAACTGAATGGGGTAGATGGTGTTGTAGCAAGCTGCAACTGAAAGTGGAAGCGGAAATGGGCATGGCGCAACAGGTATAGCTAAACCTATACCATAATAAGCATTTGAAAGCAGAGATAGGGTTCCGTTAACATTAAGAAAACCAAATTAAGGATAATTATGGGTTTAATAGGAACTACTTGTTTCTATTATTTTTTTTTCAATGACATGGCACTTACATTATCTGCAAGTCAAAAAAACAAGTCTTTGATTTGCACATAAGCAATAACCATAATATATTGTAACAATATTGCAATTACATTGTATTGCAGAACAAGGTAATCTATAAAGTCTGAAATCAAAATAAATTGCCAAAATATTGTTACGATACATACCTACTACTTGCAGGCTTCATTCATACAGGAGCCCCTGCCAGTGCACCTGATACGCTTAGCCGAACCCAGCTGTCAAATTGTGGGCACCTTGTCTGCTTGTTTTGACCCGGCCCTAGGCGCATCAGACCTTGGATTATTGGTGACAGGAAAAAAAGAGGTTGCTTTTCCCTGTATTGTTTTCAGTCACACATCTTTTTTTCCATCATCAGCAGAGATGCAAGCTTATTTACCTGTAGACACCATATTCTAAGCCAGACTACATCTGTAAATCAAGAAAATATCCTGGTAGGGGAGTTTATTTAGCCAAGAACATTTGTGTGCCTTTAGGTTCCACTGATATAAATCAGTTCTGTTTTCAAGCCCTACACTTAAGGCGGACCTTTACCCATATCTTTAAAATAACAACAAAAACACCTTTAGAAATAGAACAAAAGAGAAGGGCGCCCACCCTAGTGTAGATTGTTTTTAATAAGAAAAGCTGCAAGACAGGGTAAAAACATACTCAATAGTGAATCGAAATAAAAGCTTTCAACCAAAGCATGGACAACATCAGTAATGGGCTGCACAGTCACCTGTGTGCCAGCTTTTATTTCGATTCACTATTGTGAGTATGTTTTTACCCTGTCTTGCAGCTTTTCTTATTAAAAACAATCTACACTAGGGTGGGCGCCCTTCTCTTTTGTTCTTTTTCCCATAGTGTTACAGCTCCCCTGTCTGAAGTGCGGCAGCACCTCTAGCAATCCTCGCTTATATAATTTTCAGTTGGTGGTCACAGTTTGGCGCTTTTGATTTGTTTAACCGGTTACACCTTTAGAAATGTTTAGTAATGACAATCTACAAGCACATTCTTCTAGATAATTATCAGCTGTGTATTCTTTGCATTCCTTATTTCTCTTTTCTTCTGACAGTGTCCATGTTTACTAAGGGCAGATTACTAGATCTCTCTTTACTTCCTGGATTTCTGGCACAGGTGACTAGGACATGTGACCATGCACATAATCTCAGGGGAGGAAAAGTAATCTGCACTTTCAAAGCAGGAAGTGAATGCTCTGCAAGTGTAAGTATTTCCAAATCACAGCATTTTACACCTGACATGTCTATGTTATTATTATTAATCATCATACATAGAGGGATGCATTAGTAGAATTAGATTTACGAGTGTAAAGGTCTGCTTTAACCTCTTGCCGTCCGCCCGTAGTAAAAAAACGGACGGACGGCACTGCAGCATCTGCGGGTTGCCGTCTCCAGACGGCAATTTTTTTCTGCTCGCGCGCGCCCCCTAGCGGGCACGCACGGGCAGAAAAGACCCGCTAAATGCACACACCCGTTACCGGGTGTTTCACATATAGGCGATCGGCGGGTCCAAAAATGTCAGTTAAAGTACCGCAGCGCTGAATACTGAAAAATGGCCTGGATGGGAAGGGGGTTTAACACCGCGGATGTCAACTGGTTAAGCTTAGTGTCTTTGGTAATTTTTTAGGGTGTTTTATGAGCATTCTTCCAGGAGTTCTTGCGTGTGTGTTATAGGCTTGAGTGTTTTTTATTAGCCAATGTGAAGCTACTTACTAGGCAAGAAAACACAAGAAAAATGTGTGTTAGGCGCCTTTTTGTGTATTTTTCAGGTGTTTCCATTAAAGTCTATGGGAGCCAAAATGCTCAACTCTGCTTCACAAGAAGCTCCTGTGTACTTTTTTGAGCTACAGAAATTTTGCTACAAACAACAGAGCTCTCAGATGTGAACAGGCACCATTGAAAAACAATGGGATTCCTCCGGTTGAGTGTTGTAGCGCATAGAGCCCTTTCACATGGGCTTTTCAATCAGATCCGCCTGTCACTTCTTCAGGCGGACTTGATTGAAAGCCAAATGTTAGTCTATGGGCAGCTGGATCGAAATGGACGGGTGCGTCTGTTCACATAGAGTTACCCCCCAGGCTCTGGCCAGGTCTGGAAAAAAAAAACGGATCAGAGATCCATTTTGCCGGACCTTTCGGGGAGAACCTGATGCAAACGTACACAAATCTTCCCTATATACCAACATGGGACCAGTATTTTCAGGGTTTTTTCTCCATCACAAAATATGGAGGAAAAAACTGGAAGGACATGGACGTCACAACGGTGACATCCGTTCCGATCAGGAGGGGAACCGTGCACGGTCCCCTTCCTGATCGAACCGTGTGAAAGGGGCCTTAGGCTTTCTCAGGTGTAAATGAGGCCTCACAGTTGAACATATGAAAAATACCAGTCCAATTTTGTGGGCTGATATCTATTGGTCATCAGGGTCTGAAACAAATGTTCATGATATAACCTTTTCCCTGATGAGTGAAGGAATGTGTCAATTTGTCTAATGTCTATGTCCACCTTGAGTACACTTGTCAGTAAAATCTATAATTGAATATTACTCATGCACTATTTTTACTCTTTGTGATTTCAATGATGTGAATGATTTGTCTCTGCTCCTGGAGACCTCTGATTCCATTATGGCACTGCACCTTCGTGCTGTTTGCCTAGGGTGTTTGTGTAACTGCAAGAATGTGTGCTATAAAACTCTATTGTAATCTCCTTTTCACTGGACGTCTGTTGCCCGGTCAGTATCTGTGGGGGATGATACACAGACACATGAAGTCTTTAGTGAAGAAAGCAAATAACAATACTGACCAGAACTTCCACTTCGCAGAATACATTCTTTTCATTTCCTGGGACGCAGGATTAAATGGAAGAATCAGAGTCATCTGTTGGTAAAATACAGCCACTTACCATCTTTACCGCACAAAGGAACCTCAACTCATAGTGCCATGTCATCAATCTGCTAAATGACAATGAGGTGCTACAACATCAAGGATTTGTATGCTTTAAGAAAACTAGTAATTATAAAATACTTGTTGTATATACACAAGAAAACCACAGAATGTCTAAAGATCAATCAGCACTGGTATCCAGAATGCTGGAAATAACTCAAACTATAGAAAAAAATTAAATTGGGCACATTTTTTGGATACAGCATTCCATGTTACAGAAATAAACAAAATGAGGCATTATATGACATATGAGGTGACATCCTGCACAGCACTAGTGAACCAGTAAATGTATTTCTTGTACGTCTGTCACTTTATTTCATAATGGCAATTGTTCAAAAAACAATGATGTATGGCAGCTACAGCTACTGATTTTATATTCTTATCAGTTGTGCCATCATTGATGGAAGTTGATTTTTGGTTAGCTGCTATGTATTTATGCACTGAGACATGTCAATGTATGATCAAGTTAAGGGCTTGTTAACACCAAATGCAGACCAGATCTGCACTGGTTTCTGCACTTGCAGTGCATTTTGACACGTTTGACGCGTTCCGGGCCGTTTTTGTAAAAAAAAATGTTTGTTTTGTTTTTAGCCTAAAATGGGCTTTCAGTGCGTTCCAGGGCGTTTACATGCATTTTTGATGCATTTGCATGCATTCCAAAGCAGAAAAAATAGTGCATGCTGCAGTTTTTCCACATGGAACTGAACGCTCTGGTGTGAACTAGAGCCCAAAATACCATTGGAATACATTGGACGCAGTTTTGATCTGTTCTGTAACTGCTCCATACCTGTTCTGCGCTTGGTGTTAACTAGCCCTGAGGGTTATGTTAAGAACCTTGTTTGTAATTTTGTATTAATAAAATGGCTGCTTTGGCCACAAAATCTAGCCCTGGTGTGGTGTCACTTAAGGAGAACTATGGGGTTAAGGCTTTTCCCCATAGTTCTCCTTAGGGTAACGGGAGGACACAAACTAGCGTCCTCCCGTCACCCTAAGCTCAGTATACCGCGAGCTACAGCTCGCGGTATACTAAGACTCCACAGTATACCGCGAGCTACTGCTCGCGGTATACTGAGACGCCGCAGCTGAAGCGGATCCCGACAATTATGTCTGGATCCGCCCAGCTGCGTGAGTGACAGCTGGCTCTGCCTATCTAGAGGCAGACCCAGCTGTACCGCCCCCTCCCCGTCCGTTCCGCCAGTCAGCGCTGGAGGATCGGAGTGGGGAGGGGGGAATCCAGCCCCTCCCGTCATGGCAGAGAGCCGTGACAGGATCGAGAGGTGAGCGAACGCCGGTATGTGTTCGCTCACCTCCCGATCTACTAAGCCGACCTGTAACAGTCTCATTGTCACAGGTCAGCTAAAACTATGAGGTGAGTGAAAAGCACTCACCTCATAGTTCTCCTTTAATTAAGAGGTGGGAGTTTCGGAGGGTGGATTTGGGTGGCCTAGGTGACCCCGTGCATATACAATACCCTAGTCATGGTCAGCTCCAACTGCTCTTCTAAAGAATCAAGGAACCCCACTGTGGAAAGCATTCTGCAGCATCAGAAATGACATAAGCCCTGCAGGAAAAGTTCCTATCAGCTTGCAGCAAAGCCTTGAAATGCCTGTGTTGTGGTCCAGTGCGGTCAGAAAAAATGCTGCATGAACTACTTTTTCTGAGCACACCGGACCGAAATGCAGACATTGGTGTGCCACACGTTCTGGAGTGGCGGATGGTACTCCAGCAGGGGGCGGTGGCTATTGTGCCATTGACTTCAATGCTCCGCCACACCCCCTCCCACCCCAGATCACAGTGAGCCTGCCGGGATGCGATTCAGTGCGTTTCGGCACTGAATCAGGCCAGAACGCACTGGGGCTGGTGTGAACTAGCTGTAAAAACAGTGTCAGCAATACCATTGCCAGGCATTGCAAGTACCAGCCAGAACCAGTCATGTCTGAAATAAATGTTGCACGGCTAGTCCTGCGCCTAATGGATTTTGATTATTTCGCTTTGCAACACAAAAGGTTTCTTGTGTAAATTTATATAACAATTTCGTATTCTGAAAAACGTTTACTACAGGATAGAAAACCAATATTCCTTATCTTTCCAGTTCCGTGTACTGAGGAACGTGGAGCTGTGATATGAGGACAACAAAAAAGCTGAGAATAAATGTGAAGAGAGCAAAGTGAATTTATTGCCATGTTCATAATAATGTGAGGAGCAATTTACTAAATGCAAAGTGAAGAAACCCATTAGATCAATCAGAATTTACTTTAGTATAGTCATACAGGAACCTGATCAAGTTGAACTGGTTGCTATAGGTCCTACACTTGCACTTAGTACTTTGTTGCTGCACTGTTATCAAAGAGGGCACACGGTGCTCGACAGCTTTTTAGTTTTTTTTTAGAATTGATAGCAATAAAGTTAAAGGGGTTCTAAACCCTCCGTTTTTTTTGCCTATATCTACTGCTAGCATGCAGTAGATCTAGGCAAGAAGTGAAAAAAAAAAAAAAAAACGCTTAAAATCCTTTTAAACTTACCTCGTTATCGCCGCTCGTTCCCGCGCCGAGAATCATGAACTGCTCGTACGGCCGCAGAGGATCTTGGGGCGGGCGCATACGCAGTTCCGGTTCTCGGCCGGGAGACGAGCAGAGACGCAAGGTAAGTCTATGGACGCGTGCACCCGCCTGCAGACACCGCTGGATCGGAGAGACAGAGCAGTCAGCGCTGGATCGGAGTGACGTCACACCGCTGGAGGGACAGATGAAAACATGGGGAAAGAAGTGGAAGATCGGAAAAAGAGACATCATTTAAGGTAAGTGCTAACATTTACATTGGGGGGAGGGAAACATTTTTTTGCCTTTAATGTCACTTTAAGTGTAAAAAAAACCCCCACATCTCCATGCTCCCTTGTCACTAAGGAACATGGAGCTGGTTTTCCAGCCAATCAGGAAGCCAGGGGGTGGGTAATGACTCGCCGCCTGGCTTCCAGATGCCGGAAGTTCCGGTATTAGGATAAGTATCAGGAGCATTTGGGCGAGTGTGGTGACGAGAGAGCATGGTGACGAGGGAGCATGGAGTCGGCTTCCAAACCAATCAGGAAGCTAGACAGCGTGTAATGACTCACTGTCCGCCTTCCTGATTGGTTGGGAATCTGGCCAATCAGGACCCCGGGCGGTGAGTCATTACCTGCCCCCCCCCCAGCTTCCTGATTGGCCAGAAAACCTGCTCCATGCCTCCTGGTAACAAGAGAGCATGAAGCCGCTTTCCAGGCTGATCAGGAAACCGGGTGACCAGTTATTACAGGCCGTTCGGCTTCCTTAATAAAACTACCAGTATCGGTATTGGCGAGTACTGTAAAAAAAAAAGTATCTGTACTTGATACCGAAAAAACAGCATCTGTGCATCCGTAATTATTATTATTATACAGGGCTTATATAGCACCAGCAGTTTGCACAGCGCTTTACAATATACAGAAGACATTACAGTTACAATACAAATCAAGACAAGATGGTTAGAATGGCCCTGCCCCTGAGAGCTTACAATCTAAAAGACATGTTTGGTATCTATTTATCCGACACAACCCCACCTTTTATATTTTACAAAAAAAAATGGTGCACTAAAATTCATTTTAGTGTATTTTATCCTAAAATATTGGGGTTATTAACATCTGCGCAAACATAATACAAGATAAGACATTCCAACTGGCATTTTTTAAAATTCTACAGGATCTCTGCTTTGAGAAATGATATAATTGTTTGGGGGTTTTATGCATCCCACGCGTTCCGGTGTGGGCAATCTCACTGCTTCAATGCACCTCCATGCTTTGAATAAACCAAGTGCAGGAGACCAGTGTGAATGTAGCCTGAGAAAGAATTGCATAAAATAGTTTTGGTGGTGACAAGATGTTCCATAAAAATAAGGAGTTCATTTTGCAGCATCTAGCATACCTGTGCAGTGCTATACACTTCTGTAGAGGTCTAGGTGTTGGAAGACAGAGATAGGTGTGGTAGAAAATATGCGGTCACACCAGCACTGCCACTTGTGGTGACCTTAGCCTGTGGCCAGAGAAATATGTGCCTGATATAGACAAGGGTGGAGCAGGGGGTGGGCAGTGTGCGCTGTGCCCCAGGACAGGTAAGTGTAGGGGCGGGCCCTTTGCGGTGTAGGTGAAGGCTGCATTGTGCACAGAGGTGTATTGGGACGAAGCAGGGGGCGGGCACCGTACACAGAGGTGTACGTAGGGGCAGAGCAGGGGGCGGGCCCTGTGTAGTGTAGGGGAAGGCTGCCTTGTGCACGGAGGTATGTCGGGGCGGGCACTGTGCACAGAGGGGTGTGTTGGGGGCGGAGCTGCAAGTGAAGGATGTGCATGTGAATTATTCGGGAAAGGCAGCCGCGGACAATCACACGGTCCCCGGTAACCGGCAGATCACACTTCGTAATCACTCGGATCAGGGGACTTGTCCCGGGGGAAGGCACTGAAACACACCTGCAATGGCCGCACTGCGGGCAGAGGGAACTTTTACAACTTCTCGGATAAACTTCGCCTGAGATCCTTCGCTGGCTGAGCGCGGCTCCTCCCCGTATAACATTCTTTCCATAGCGGAGGAGCTCTCCTACCGATCCGGTGTATCACCCATGCTGATCAGGTAGAGGGGGGAGTCTCATCTGATTGTCAGCTCTCCGTCCCGGAGGTAATGGGCTCAGCCCATGATCTGTCCCAGCTCCGGAGCCTGTTCGCCGCCTGTGATGTGAATGGCTCCGGGCTGGTGGAGTTGGAGGACTTCGCCGCGGTGTGCATGGACCTGGGGGTGCAGCCCAGCCTGGTCCGGCCGCTGTTCCGCAGACTGGATCTAGATCAGGATGGCACCATAGACTTCCAGGACTTCGCCGCCCGTTTCGAGGAGGTCTCCGAAACCCTCAATCTGTCGGCTCTCCAGTCCGGCGAGCCGTCTCCCGCCTGGGAGGAGCTGGAGAGGAGGCTGGGGGGAGAGACTCGGCACCTGGCCAGGTATGGGGCCGCCATCAGCCCTCCATGGGCCCCTCCATTGTATATGTGTGTGGGTAACATTCCCAATCATATGCACACAAAGGGAACTTCTATCAACTGTTTCTAAAAACGTATAATTATTATTGTTCGTATTATTAGTTTTATTAATATTGTTCTTCTTAATAATAATATTATTAAAGAGGATTTATATGGCGACAACAGCCTGTACAGCGTTTTACAAAATAAATGTTTGAAGAACATCACCAGCACACCAAATCCATGACTGCATCAAGTGTTCATTTATTGACCTATGCTGTCTCTTGGTTGCAAGCGCTTTCGGGCCAGGCAGGGTCTCCATCATCTCTGAGCCTGATGAAGGGGACCCTGGGCGGCCCCATAAGCGCTTGCAACCGGGAGGCAGCATACTTCAATAAATGAACACTTGATGCAGTCATTGATTTGGTGTGCTGGTGACGTTCTTCAAATATCTACATGTGGCGACGCCATCCGCAATCATTTCAAGCACCCGTCTGTATATCCATATGGGAATCCCGGTAAGGAGTGCAGCAAGTATCCCCCTTTTTGTTACAAAATAAATGGAGACAGTACAGTCACAATATAACGCAAGACGAGGCTTTCAGGTCCAACTTTAGGCAATTTCTTTTTTCTTAGTCCCCATTTACACCATCACGTAGCGGGAAAGTGCATTGCGGTGACGGTCATTGTTGTGCGCTCGCAGGTGTTTGTTTCTCATTGATTTGAATGGGGGGTGCACGAGGGAAAGTTGCACATATAGCAAAAAAGCGTGTTTGCTCGGCCACATTTGGGGTGCCATTGACATGTAATGGCACCACATACACATTCTGCATTTTTTTTCCCCCCCCGAAATTTGCCTCGCACAGAACGCGATGTTGTTTATGGGGACTTGAGGTGGGGGGTATACACGCTTCTATTTCTTTCATTCAACCCACAGGAACAGATTCCTCCATCCATGCTTACGAGTGTTGATGGAGGAATCACTCTGCTGTTTGCATTGTGCCCTTGACAGCAGCTGCCGGCAAGCTGATTGGCTGCTTGGTCAGTTCGAATTTTCCAACTGCCTTCTTTGATCAGCTGATTGAGGGTTGCCTGGCAGAAGGGTCCCACAGTGGCACCCACGGCTGAAATTCGAACCATGTGTACCCGACTTTAGTGTTGATTTGGGGGTGTTGTGTGCATGAGCTATGTCATTGGGGCCTGGCCAATCAAGTGGCTGAAGAATCGGAGCCCAGAAGAGCACCGAGATGAAGGAGCTTTGTGCTGCAGGGGATCGGTTTGGCAGGTAAGTCTTAGGCCCCGTTCACACTGAGCGATTTATCGCGCGGTAATTCCCGCGATATCGCGGCTATTTACCTCGCGATATCGCTCTCCAATGCATGGCAATGGAGGTCTGTCCGTCGCTGTCGCTACAGCAGGACCCTTTTTGGAGCGGATTTTGCCGCGATTCTAGCTTGCTCAATGCAAGCATTTGCGCGATATTGCGCAAAATGCGCGACTAACGTGCGAATCGCTCAGTGTGAATGGGGCCTAAAAGAGTACCCTGCTGCAATAATCATCTACTGAAGGATTATTCTTGATTCCTGGCATTGCTTGCAGCATGCCACTGCGGTATTGACTGTTACTTATTAATGTGTATGTAAAACCAAAACATATTTTTTAGTTTTGGATAGAAAAAGGAATGAGCAAACTCTGGCAGGGTTTTGTGTCATGTTGGGGAGCTTTCTGTTAACTTCCTGTCCCAGAAGCACAGCAGGAAGTCAGATGAGATATTCCCTCTTAAGCTGGCTATACATTGAGCAAAATTTCTTTGGTTCTAGAAATTCACCATTGGGTGGCCCTGTCTGCCCGCTCGTGGTTTAAACCCTTTTAAAACCCTAGAAGAATTGAAGGAGCCAGGAGGAAAATTGTTAGCCAAACAGCACCTTGTATCCAATCAGATGCGGGCACTGTTCAGGTATATTGACAGCTGGTCAGGCTGACTGCCAAATACAATAGCTGCAGTGCTGTCCAGCATCAGATTTATTCCATTCCATAAAATCTGAACAAAACACATTTTCTAGTGTATACCTAGCTTTGAACAGGTTTCCCCATTGGAGGATTTCACCTCACTTCCTGTTGCAACTTAAACATCTTGGATTTCCCATTACTTTCTGTAGCGGAGACATTGGTCAGTCGAGCCACTATTGAGGTTAAATCTCCACAACAGGGACATGGCAGTAAAAACCTGACATAGGTTGTAACCTATCTAACAATAAAAACACAGCTTGCAGCCCAACCAATCGCAATGTTTATTTTCATTTTGGATAGTGTGAGGAACCTCTTTTTGCTTTTATTGATGTGTGAGACCCCATTGAGATTCCCCCTACATCCTGTCCCAGTGATAATAGGTTAGCAGAACTGGAAGCAATAGGAAATCCTTGAAATTGGTACAGAGAACGCAATAAAAAGACATTTGTCTAGTGCAGCGTGGAATGTTTAGGGCCCTGGAAAGTTTTTATTACTCTTTGTATGTTACTGTCCTGGCAAACACGCATCCATCGGTGGATTATTTGTACTGTGAGCCCAGGCGGTTGTCATTCATAGCCCTCTCCTACCAGTTTTTAATAGTGTAAACCATAAGGGTTCCAGTGTCCTTGCGGAAACGTGTGAAAGAACACTCAGTGATGGGCGTGTTTTCGTGCTGTGCATCGGAATGGATGGCTCTGAATAAGCCCTTAAAGTGTCACGCCACTTATTAATCGGGGTTCCTTTACACAGAGGTGAAGACCTGGGATCCTAATGACCACGCTAGTCTCTACCCAGAAATCGTCATAGCTGATATGTGGTGTGCTCATAGGGATGAATAAGAGTCCACGGGCACTGATTAGTTTAGCTGGTCTGCAGATCAATGGACCAAAACTACACTCCTTCTGGATGCCATGCGTGTGCGGCTGTCTGCAGACTTGTGTTCACCTCTTTGATCCTGAGGTAACCCACATACAGCTACTGACAGCTGTCAATGTCTGTGCAGGAAAGGGGGCATAAAGATCGAGTCCTTAATACCCGTGCAAACATCAGTTTTTGGTAGATGCTGAAAAGTCTCACACATTTTTGTGTTTCTTGGAAACTCCAATGGGGTGATCTCTGTGTCTGTAGTACAAGGTGTTGTGACACTTGCAAGGGGGTCTTACACATATTGTTGGATTTTATTAATACATTTTATACGATTACTATAGAAAGAGGAACGAGGTCCAAAGCCCTCTTAGTGAGGAGGTCTCATTGTTGCATTCCATAGGAGATAAAAGAATGCTGCGGGTGTCCTCCAGGTTTTAGCTATATGCTGCGGCAATGACAACTTCACAGAGGGTCTAACCCTTCTCTGATCTATTAATAACTAAAAAAAAAGATTTGTCTAGAGAAACATTTTAAATTCAACACGAGATCCCCACCCCCCTACATGTATCCACACATAACGTCCTCATGGACAATATTAACTTCTGATGATTGTCTGAAATGGTGGAAAAACCTATTTGAACGGCCGACAAACAATCTGTGTTCCTTTTTGATTTTTGGACACAGATGCCATTTTGATACTGGACAGGGTACACTGGACGTCGGGTTCTGTTTTAAGGAGACGTGAAACTCTATCTTGTAGAACCCCATGCATAGCAAAAGAACAATGTCTGTGGAATGTGCCGCTCAGTGGCAGACCTAGGGAACAAAGGTCCTTGGTGCAAGATTATTTCCCCCC